AATCCAGGTTATCCCTGAGAACATCTTTGACCCTCTCGAGAACCTCAGATATTTAACCCTGTCTGCAAACAACATCGAGAATCTTCCCAGTAACCCACTCCACAACTTAAAACGTTTGACAACTTTAAACATCTCACATAACCAGCTGAGAACAATTCCTGCAGGCTCATTAGAGGGACACTCCGAGCTGAATTTGTGTCTTTCCAACAATCCATGGCTCTGCGATTGTGACATTCAATATTTAATCGAATGGATCAGGGGGCTAAATCAGTTCAGTGGCGAAGGAACCTTGAACACCACCGATGTTGTTTGTAGTGACCCCGCTGAAATGAGGGGAGTGTCCCTCCTTGAGCTCCACCCATCAGAGTTGTGCATGACCAGCCTTCCTGGATATGTGACCCTGCCAGTTCTCAGCACTACAGGCATGCAGACTGCGAGCCCAACATGGCTCCTCACCACTGGCCCAGGAGATGCTGTTAACCGCTGGGCGCCATCGTTTGCCCTCCTTGAGGCGCTGGGCATGCTCAGATCGAGTTGCTTCCATCTCTTCCTTCTGCACAGCCTCTGGTTCGTCCTCCTGCTGCTGGAGAGTGGCCTGCTCCTGTTCTACACCCTCCGCTTCCACCACCGAGGACACGTGCCCATGAAGCGCCTCGCCAAGAGACGACTTGGCATCCGACTGGTGCGGTACAGTCTGCTGGTGCCCAGTCCTCGCCAGATCTACCCCGCCCTCAGCCCCTTTGGGGAGGTGGGGGACATGGAGGAGGCCGGCGGTGGTTATCCACAAGACGGTGTCTTCAACCCACAGCTGGAGGACCCCAGGCCCTCTCCCGATCAGATGGTCGCTCCTGCTCATGACTTGTAGACGGCCAACTCCGACCAAGGCATCCTCATCAAAGCCTGCAAGTTTTGCAGTAAATTGCGGGCCTGAATTTGCCCTGGTGTCATCTCTATTGACATACGTAACAACAAGAAGAGCAAGCATTTTATTCATTGGCAACTATTGGGACCAAGAGTGGGCCGCTCGATCAGATATTCCGGCTAATCGAGAGGGCGACATAATTGGTGTAAAAACACACACTCAGCAACAGAAACATAATGCAGGGGGTATACACGTCGCTGTTAGACTTTATGTGTAGCAGAAATCACTTCAATAATAATGTAGCCTTGCCTTAAATAAAACTTACCAGCAGTCAACTGATTGATTACTGGGCAATATGGTGGCTCAGTGGTTAGCACTGCTACCTCACAGCACCAGGGACCTGGGTTCAATTCCACCCTCAGGCGACTGTCTGCGTGCAGTTTGTGTCTGTGTGGGTCATGTTGAGGTTGTACAGGACATTGGTGAGGCCTCTTCTGCAGTAGTGTCCAGTTCTGGTCACCCTGTTATAGGAAGGATGTTATTAAGCTGGAGAGGGCTCAGAAGAGATTTGCCAGGAATGGAGGGTTTGAGCTATAATGATAGGCTGGGACATTTTTCACTGGAACGTAGGAGGTTCAGTGGCGACCTTATAGAAGAGGTATAGAGAGAGTGAATGGTAGTCGTCTTTTCCCTAGGAATGAGAGATTTCAATAGTAGGGGGCACATTTTTAAGGTGAAAGGGAGAGAGATTTAAAAAAAGACATGAGAGGCAAATATTTTTACACAGAGGGTGGTTCGCATTTGGAATGAACTTCCAAAGAAAGTGGTAGATGCGGGTACAGTTACAACGTTTAAAAAACATTTGGATAAGTACATGAATAGGAAAGGTTTGGAGGGATAAAGGCCAAATGCAGGCAGATGGGGTCAACGGCTTGATGGTCACTGCAGGAGCAAAGATTACCCACTTTCAGCACGAGCCATTACAGCGAAGGGAGCTTCATACTGAACCGGGAAAAGGTTTGGATATTCCGCTGGGAATCCCATGAACATGGGCATTTGGCTCCTGCTGTGCCTTACCCCCACGGTACTGGCTGTGGAAGGTAAGTCATAAATCCTGCTTTCCAATGGTATGAGACTGAATTTCCCTGCTGCAATCCCGCTCCCCCCCGTAACTGTGGAACTCCCCCACCACCCACTTCCCTGCCCTTTGGTGGGGCAATTCCCATGGGCTGTTCCACTCTGGAAGGCATCGCAGACCAGTCGCAGTTTTGTCTTTTACATCGTGTGGAGTGTAAGTGCGTTATTGGTGTGTGGGTCTGAGCAATGCCAAGGGACAGCAGCCAGTGTTGGGGGGCCGCTCTGGGGGGCGGGGGGATTCCTGGAAGTTTGGTTACATGGCCTTCCCACTACAACCCCATCCCCCAACCTATTGGCTGCCTGGCCTGTCCATCTCCACGATGACCTGCCTTCTCAACCAATCAGGGATTTCTCAGTTACCCAATTGGATGTTGGCCATTAAAGATAATTAACAGGTTTTTAAATGAGGCCCTGTGCTTTCTCGATATCCCTTAGCTCCCGGCTGTGGACTGTGTCTGGAACTGTGGGTCACCCTCTGCCCCCAGTCACGCAATCACAGGGTCACAGTTTTCCTCAGAAAAGCTTGTTCCTCTGTGACAGAAATCAAGGCTTTTCGGCAACCAATCATTCCTGATAATCCCTGGAATCCTGCAGCAAGCAACTCACTTCCTGATTCCCTAAAGCCTGTCCACCATTGACAAGGCATAAGTCGGGAGTGAGAGGGAACACATCCCTACTTGCCCTGGATGGGAGCAGCTCCAACAACACCCAAGAAGCTTGACACCATCCAGGACAAAGCAGCCCCCGCTTGATTGGCACCACATCCACAAACATCCCACTCCCTCCACCACCAACGCTCAGTAGCAGCAGTGTGTACCATCGACAAGATGCATTGCAGAAATTCACCAAAGATCCTACACCAGCACCTTCCAAACCTGTGACACGTGGGCACACCTCTACCCGCAAACTGCCCTCCAAATCGCTCACCATCCTGACTTGGAAATATATCGCTGTTCCTTCACTGTCACTAGGCAAAAATCCTGGAATTCTTAACTTAACGGCACTATCTAGGTGTCCCTACACTATACAGACTGCAGCGGTTCGAGAAGGCAGCTCACCCCCACCTTGTCAAGGGTAACTAGGGGTGGGCAAGAAATCTTAGCTGAGCCAATACCATGCACTCATTGCCACATCCAAGAATGAACTATTTTTTGGAAAAAAAATCACTCACTCCCCTCCACAAATGGTATTTGCTTGTCAAATATGTTTTCTTACAATTCCAAAAAAAAATTTTTAGGCTAAAACTGGGCTACAGGTTACACCATCAGTGTCTCATCCAACAAAACACATTCTTTCATTCTCAGGGACAACACCTTTCCAAAATGTTGGGGCACAAACAGAGCTATAAAGTTGTTAAAGGCTTAGACAAAGTGGGTAACCTGAGAAGGATGGGGGATGTGAAAAGATTTATCGAGGGAACTCCAGTTTGGGAGACAAGGATGCAAATGGTGGAGCTCGGAGTTGCAAAAAAGAGGCCAGGGGTGGAGGAGTGGGAAAGATCTCTGAGGCTAGCCTCCAGCTGGGAAAGGTGACGGAGGTAGGCTGGGTGGGGCAAGGCTGCGTGTTGGAGAGGGAGAGAAGGGGCAAGATTTATGTTGAATTTGTGTGGGAGACCAGTCAGATCTCAGCTGGAGTACAGTGTACAGTTCTGGACAGAGTTTGAGAGGACAGGAGAGATTGACAAGGACGGTTTCAGGAACTTCAGTGATTGAGATAAATTGGAGAGGTTGTGACTGTTCTCCTTAAAGAGAAGGCTTTGAAAGAAGTTTATAAAATGATGAGAGATTTGGGCAGGGTTGACAGGCAAGAACTGTCCCAACTCATAAAAGATCAAGGATGAGAGGGAGCAGATTGACAATGATTTGAAGAAAAAAGGAAACGCAAGGTGAAAAAGACTTGTTTTCACTCCGTGATTCATTCGCGTCTGGAATGCACTGCCAGGAAATACCGTGAAGTTAGGTTTGGTCAAGGCATTGGAGTGGATGGTTATTTCAATGGACACAATGTGCTGGCTCACAGGGGAGATCAGCCTCAAGAAATGACGCTCACTCAGATGGGCCGAATGGCCTCCTTCTGCCTGCCTTGTGACAACTCGGTGACTCTGAGTGAGAATGTGGGCCAGTGTGATTTTGAATGAGTTCAGGTTTAAGAGCGTGGAAGGTCGGGGTTTGGGGTGGGGGGGGAGCGGGGGGAAGGGTCAGGTAGAGTCCAGACCTACCTCCATAGGAAAGATTTGGACGAGGCCTTCAGCTGAGAGAGGGGAGGCTGGCTGGTGGTGTTCTTTGTGTCAGAGTGAGTACGGGGCTCACTCAGTTACAAATGCAAAGCCATCCAGGGTAAGGACATAACTGGAAGCAAAAAAGTCTGTCATTTACTTTGGAGTAAGATTTTGACCATAAGATCCAAAGGTTTATAAGCAACTGACAATCAACAGGGAAGCAATGACCCTCTAAGTGAGCCTCAGGATATTCCTGTACACAGAAATCAGTCTCAACTGACCATAACGCTCTTCAACATATTGAACAGCACTGTACTGCCACACTCCGCGAGTTATCAAACACTCTGTAATTATAAACAGACGGGCTTACCGAGTTCCCAGGAGGAACACAGGCCTTGAATTTCTCTGCACGTGCACTTAACCCATGGGACCTTGATCAGATGGGCCAATGGGCTGAGGATTGGCAGATGGAGTTTAATTTAGATAAATGTGAGGTGCTGCATTTTGGAAAGGCCCATCAGGGCAGGACTTACACCCTTAATGGTCAGGTCCTAGGCAGTGTTGCCAAACAAAGATACCTTGGGGTGCAGGTTCATTGTTCCTTGAGAGTGGAGTTACAGGGCAATAAAGGCAGCATTTGGTATACTTGCCTTTATTGGTGAGTGCATTGAGTATAGGAGTCGGGAGGTCATGTTGTAGCTGTACAGAACATTGGTGAGGCCACGTTTGGAATACTGTGTTCAATTCTGGTCTCCCTGCTATCGGAAGGATGTTGTTAAACGTGAAAGGGTTCAGAAAAGATTTTCAAGGATGTTGCCAGGGTTGGATTGAGCTATAGGGAGAGGGTGAATAGGCTGGGGCTATTTTCCCTGGAGCACCGGAGGCTGAGGGGTGACCTTATAGAGGTTTATAAAATCATGAGGGGCATGGATAGGGTGAATAGACAAGGTCTAATCCGAGGGCAGAGGAGTCCAAAACTAGAGGGCATAGGTTTAAGGTGAGAGGGGAAAGATATAAAAGGGACCTAAGTGCCAATTTTTTCACACAGAGGGTGGTGCGTGTATGGAATGAGCTGCCAGAGGAAGTGGTGGAGGCTGGTACCATTACAACATTTAAAAGGCATCTGGATGGGTACATGAATAGGAAGGGTTTAGAGGGATATGGGCCAAATGCTGGCAAATGGGACTGGATGAACGTAGGATATCTGGTCGGTATGGACGAGTTGGACTGAAGGGTCTGTTTCTGTGCTGTATGACTCTACGACTGTAAGTGAGGTTTACATGGTGTGGAGGAGAGGCTGAGGAAATTCAGAGTCCATGTGTCCCCACATGGCCACTCCCACATGCCCACTCATATTCCAGAATTCCTGGACTTTCCGAAAAGAGACAGGGACAGATAGCCATTCTCCACTCTGTTCCATTGTCTTGAGGGTGTTTGAAGTTTTTGTCAGTGCTGTATGTGGGGGGGAGGGGGTGCGCGGTGTAGTTTGTTTTCTGGGGCTTTGGAGGTTTAGGGTTCAAATCTGACTCTGTATAATCTGTGCAAAACTCATTGACTGGAAATTGACAAATGAGTTTGCAAACAGTCCTGTTATAAGCAGACCAGGAAGTTCTACAGAATCTAACAATGTGACCCTTGAAAGAAATCAAACAGATAAAGGGGCACACTATCCTTCAGGGAGGTCCTGAGGCCAATGTATTGACTGCCTGTTTGTCAAGGCTGACAGTGACTATCACCTGGTGACTCCCAGGGTTCAATGCTCCTTCTGTCTGTGGTCCTGAGCAGAGAATTGTGGAACATGTACTACCCCCACACCGCGCCCCACAAAGTCCACTCACCCATCTGCTCCGAGACAGCCCAATGAGGGAGTTGTCCCTGTGCCAAGGTGACGCCAGCAAACCGACCCAGGGTCTGCGCCCGGGAAGGGCTCGGGCTTGGCTGTGATGCCACATCTAGTCGAGCAGCTCTGTGAGGCACTGGAGTGTCTGTAGAGCCTGTTTCTATCCCCCCACCCAACCCCGGTGTTTGGAGAGGGTTGGGTGCCCACAATCATCAGGGAAGGAAAGACAGGGAGTCAAACTGGTCAATGCCAGGTGGAAGCCATTGGATGGGCTTCTCCACGTTACCCACCCCCTCCACCACAAGGGGGAGCCAGCCAAGCGACTGGAACTGGACCCCGAGCCAATGCTCTCTCTCCAAACTGAGGGAGTGCTGCACTGCCAAGGGTGCCATCTTTCAGATGGGCTTCATTGGCTCTGAAGCTGTAGAGGGGCATCCTGATGGTGGCAAGAGGCACTTAATAAATGCAACTCCACCTTTTCTCTCTGCCAGAGGTGCTTCTGGACACTCAGTTGGAACAGGACGAGCTGAACTGGCTGGTGACGCCTGAAGGAGGGGTAAGGCACAGGCTGATCCCAGAGGAGATTAATTGTTTGCAGTCCCATTGTGGTAAAGAACAGGAAGGGGCAAAAGGATGGGGCATTTTATTTGGGGGTAGTGTTGAAACCAGAGTATGGGCTGAAGGTGGGGCAATGGCTAATAGCAAAGAACAGAATCTACTTTAACAGAGAATCTCCCAACTACAGCAAACACAGCGGCTGGTTCAAACTACAGCAGGGCATCACCAAAACACACACCCTCACACGCCCGCACACACACACACAACACACACACACACACACACACAACCTATTCTCACACACACACCTATTCACACACACAGTCACCCACACACATACCCACAGACGCACACACACCCATACACGCTCGCTCACTCTCTCTCTCTTTCTCACACACACATCCATACACATGCACACACTTTCACACACACCCATACACACACACTCTCTCTCACACACATATCCATACACACACACATGCACACACGCTCCATCACACACACTCATACTCTCTCTCACACATGCACATACTCTCACTCTCTCTCTCACACACACGCACTCTCTCTCTCACACACACATACACACACACACACTCTCTCTCTCTGTCACATGCACTTACTCTCACTGTCTCTCTCTCTCTCACTCACACACACTCTCTCTTTCACACACAAACACCCATATACTCACACTCTCACACACACCCATGCGCATGCGCACACGCACACTCTCTCTTGCTCTCTCTCAATGGCCTAGTGGTATTATCGCCAGACTATTAATCTAGAAAGCCAGCTGATGTAAAAAAAAAGTCTGGAATTAAGAATCTACTGATCGCTGTGAATCCATTGCCAATTGTTGGAAAAGCCCATCTGGTTCACTAATGTCCCTCAGGGGAGGAAATCTGCCACCCTCACCTGGTCTGGCCTACACGTCACCCACAGCAATCAGGTTGACTCTCAACTGCCCTCTGAAATAGCCTAGCAAGCCACTCAGTTGTACGAATCGCTGCAAAGACTCAAAGATATGAAACTGGATGGATCACCTAGCATCGACCTAGGCACCAGAAAAGACAATGGCAAAAACAGTCCAATCGACCATGCAAAGTCCTCCTCACTAACATCTGGGGGCTAGTGCCAAAATTGGGAGAGCTGTCTCACAGACTAGTTAAGCAACAGCCTGACATAGTCACACTCACAGAATCATACCTTACAGACAATGTCCCAGACATCACCATCACCACCACCATCACTGGATATGTCCTATCTCACAGACAGGACAGTCCCAGCAGAGGTGGTGGCACAATGATATACAGTCGGGAGAGAGTTGTTCTGGGAGTCCTCAACTTTGACTCTGGACCCCATGAAGTCTCACGGCTTCAAGTTAAACATGGGCAAGGAAATCTCCTGCTGGTTACCACATACCGTCCTCCCACAGCTGATGAATCACTACTCCTTAATGTTGAACAGCACTTAGGGGAAGCGCTGAGGATGACAAGGGCACAAAATGTACTCTGGGTGGGGTTTTCAATATCCACCACCAAGAATGGCTCGGCAGCAGTACTACTGATCGAGCTGGTTGGGTCCTAAAGGACATAGCTGCTAGACTGGGTCTGCAGCAGGTGGCGAGAGAACCAACAAGAGGGAAAAACATACTTGACCTCATCCTTACTAATCTGCCAGCTGCAGTTGCATCTGTCAGTGATGGTATCGGTAAGAGTGACCATTGCACAATCCCACCTTCACATTGAGAACAACCTCCATCGTGTTGTGTGGCACTGTCACCGTGCTAAATGGGACAGACTTGGCACAGATCTAGCAACTCAAGACTGTGGGCCATCAATAGGGCTGGATTTGTACTCCCGCACAATCTATGGCCCAGCATATTCCCCACTCAACCATTACCATCAAGCCAGGGGATCAACCCTGGTTCAACGAAGAGTGCAGGAGGGCATGCCAGGAGCAGCACCAGGCATACCTGAAGATGAGGTATCAACCTGGTGAAGCCACCAAACAGGACTACTTGCACACCAAACAGCGAAAGCAGCAAGTGATAGACAGAGCTAAGCGATCCCACAACCAACGTATCGGATCTAATCTCTGCAGTCCTGCCACATCCAGTCGTGAACGGTGGTGGACAATTAAACAACTCACTGGAGGAGGAGACTCCACAAATATCCCCATCCTCAATGGTGGAAGAGCCCAGCACATCAGTGCAAAAGATAAGGCTGAAGCATTCGCTGTGATCTTCAGCCAGAAATGCCAAGTGGATGATCCATCTTGGCCTCCTCCAGTGGTCCCCAGCATTACAGATACCAGTCTTCAGCCAATTCGATTCACTCCACGTGATATCAAGAAACGGTTGGAGACTCTGGATATGGCAAAGGCCCTGACAACATTCCAGCATTAGCACTGAAGACTTGTGCTCCAGAACTTGTGCTCCCCTAGCCAAGCTGTTCTAGTACAGTTACAGCACTGATATCTACCCGACAACGTGGAAAATTGCCCAAGTATGTCCTGTATGCAAAAAGCAGGACAAATCCAACCCGGCCAATTACCGCCCCATCAGTCTGCTCTCGATCATCAGTAAAGTGATGGAAGGTGTCACTAACAGCGCTATCAAGCAGCACCTGCACAGCAATAACCTGCTCAGTGACGCCCAGTTTGGGTTCCTCCAGGGCCACTCAGCTCCTGACCCCATTACAGCCTTGGTTCAAACGTGGACAAAAGAGCTGAATTCCAGAGGTGAGGTGAGAGTGACAGCCCTTGATATCAAGGCTGCATTCGACCGAGTGTGGCATCAAGGAGTCCCAGCAAAACTGGAATCAATGGGTATCAAGGGGCAAACGCTCAGTGGTTGGAGTCGTACCTGACACATAGGAAGATGGTTGTGGTTGTTGGAGGTCGCTCATATCAGCTCCAGGACATCTCTGCAGGAGTTCCTCAGGGTAGTGTCCTAGGCCCAACCATCTTCAGCTGCTTCATCAATGACCTTCCCTCCATCATAAGGTCAGAAGTGGGGATGTTCACTGATGATTGCACAATGTTCAGCACCATTCGCGGCTCCTCAGACACTGAAACAGTCCATGTTCAAATGCAACAAGATCTGGACAATATCCGAGCTTGGGCTGACAAGTGGCAAGTGATATTCGTGCCACACAAATGCCAGGCTATGACCATCACCAATAAGAGACAATCTAACCACCGCCCCTTGATATTCAATGGTGTTACCATCACTGAATCCCCCACTATCCACATCCTGGGGGTCACCATTGACCAGAAACTCAATTGGACTCACCACATTAACAGAGTGGCTACAAGAGCAGGCCAGAGGCTGGGAATACTGTGGCGAGTAACTCACTTCCTGTCTCCCCAAAGCCTGTCCGCCATC